AAATGTATTATGAGGAGGAAAAATGCTTAAATACAAAGCTCAAATACGTTTTGTATTAAAATTTTAACTAAAATTTAATTATTGAAAACATTCTGTTAGTCATAATATTTACTACATAGTATAATAATTTTTTTTTTTTTTTTTTTTTGCCAATAAGCAAAATGGTCTTTACACTTGAAAAAATACAATACATATGCTGATTTGTTTTAAACTATAAAAAGACATGTAAGGACAGTGCTGCAAAATTGATTCAGAATTGCTGGGAGCTTAAATCCAGCAGTCCTTGAGCCCGCTTTTGGCAAGGCATGCGACCTAAGGCCCCTAAGATACCTGCAACCTTGGATAGTACTGAACCTTATACATCGTACGTTTTTTCCTTTACATGTGATAAAGTTTAATTTATAAACTAGGCACAGTTGACAGTGACTAATGATAGAATAATTACAACAATATTCTGTTCATAGTTTCATGAATAGAAGATTCATTTTTACCTAGATTTTAGCAACCTCAGCGTATTTTTTTTCCTTTCCTTATTAAATTCAAGAACTTTCACCTTTTCACTTAAAGCACTTTATGGCTTCTCTTTGGCACTTTCCAGTTGCCAGCATCACTACTCTTGTGCCTGGGAGCCATGATTAAGTAAAATAAGGGTGACTTGAACACAAGGAATTTAAAACTGTGATCCTCAATCTGATAACTGAGAGGGCTAGTAAATAACTAATGGGGGCGTAGCATTGACAGTGTGGATACGCTGGACAAAAGGATGATTCATGTCCTGGGCGGAACTGAGCGGGCAGGCACGGGATTTCATCATGCTACTTAGAATGGCATGCAGTTTAAACCTTATGAATTGTTTATTTCTGGAATTTTCCATGTAGTATTTTTGCACCCTGGTTGACCATGAGTAACTGAAATCGTGGAAAGTGAAACCACAGATAAGAAGGGCCTACTATAATAGTTATTCTACAGAATAAAAATTATGCCGAGCTTTTGGTCAGCCATTGTGCTGATGAAAATGTGCCAGTTAATTCTGGCAGTGAATGAGGGCTTTACTCTTCGTATGATATGAGACTGATCTTAACCCAAGATGGTGGGCTTAAGGATGTGCAATTCACATCATGTCTGTTGGCCAGGTACTCTTATTTGGTGGCAGAGTCTGGCCTTTGTAGTCAGGCAAGTAGAATTTGGAAATGTATGAAATCTTGTGCAGATTCTTGACTTTCCCTGTGACATAATGTGGCCTTTCGTAAAATGGGAAGAAGTGGTGCTCAGAGAGGTCAAGTAACTTGGCCAAGATTAAACAGACAGTAAGAAGCAAAGCCAGAACTGAAGCCCAGTGCTCCGATTTTAAAACCTTTATTCACATTATGGATATTTCTGTTGTTTATAAAAATTTTTGATACAGTTTTTTAAAAATGGTTTTATTAATAGAATTCTTATGTGTGCTCACTCGAGCTATTTTGTAGCCTAAGGCCAATACTTACCATATTTATCCACAGAATCTTTACATGTATGGTAAAATTTCATGGCAAAGAACAGATTGATTTGTCATTATCTTTAAAATATTACAATGGTTTATCAAAATATGACCATGATTATTTTTCCACAGGCTGGTACAGAGGATTTGCCTTAAAAAACCCAAATATCAAGGTAACAATTGTTATTTCTAACTATAATTATGAAATTTATTAAGAAATATAGTTATTTAAATTATTTCTTTATGCAATTGAAATTACAGTTGGGACTCAGTTGAAATGCCAAATGATAATGCAGATTTTCATAATTTTGGAAATTCCTTTGAACTTGGATTATAGTTAAGATATGCTACTCAAATGATAATCATATTTAGCTCTTGAAAATTGTACTGAGAAGACCTTAATAAGCTCATTATATGTAAACAAAATCTTTTTGAAGTAGTAGTTTCTCAGAGAGCTAAATTAAAATTCAGGCAGGGGAAATATATATTCCAAAAGAAATATTAAATAGCAGTATTTAATCTTTATGTTTTCCACAATATCATTTGCAAAATATTGGTTTGGAGAAACAAGTATACTTAGCAGCATGTTAAGAGTCCCTTTGGGTTTGGTGGGCTGAAGCGAGGAAAACATTATTATTAAAAAACCCATCTTTCTTACCATTTCAGGCAGAAAGTAAGATTCATTATCCTTGATACATTTCTATAAATCCTCAGGAATTATAGCAAGAAGTAATGTCATTTTTGTTTTATCTTTTATTTGTATAGTTTGCGATTTTGACACTAATCCTTACTAATATCTGTATTTTTCTATCTTACTGTAATCTTCTCAGTCTTCACCTATATTTCCTACATTCTCTAATATTTTCACATATGTCATATTTATTTTTTTGGTTTAATTCTAGCTTCAGGATTGTAGATAAGAAATTGTATTTTCATTCTCAAAATAGACTTTTGCCTTTTTCCTTAAATATGCCATTTTCTGGGTCATTCAACTGTGTTTAATTACTTCACATATTTTAGGTCATTCTAAAGGGGAACCGTAAGGGACAAAAGAGTATACAAATTGAATTTTTTAAATACTTTAGTCTTCATTTAACATTGTTTTTATATATCTATGAGGCACATGCAAATATAGCTTCAGTATTTAATGAATTCATTTAGACCATGTTTGAGAAGGAAACTTAGTACGATTTCTGTGTTATTTCTGTCACTTCTAATAAACCTCGTGTCTGACTTTTCCTGATTAGTTAGAATTACTCTATTTGTTGATCCCACCATATTGAAAAAAACAAGTGAGTTTTAAAAATCTGCATATATTTTTTTTACCACTATTGAATGGAAAGAATTTTGCTTATTAAATTTTATTTTATACTTGGATCCACAATGGTGATATGTATATATTCAAATGACATTTCTTTTCTTAAATATTTAATTGAGTTTGTCATTTAATTATGCATTAGAAATTCTTCAGAGGATAATTGCCGTTTAATGAACAATCAAATTGATGCTCATTTTTTTGTTGTTGTTTCTTTCAATTTCCCATTTAGAACAAAGAAACAATTTCTTTGCCCTATCATTTCCCTGCAATAAAAAGCTTCAAGCTAACATGGCTTCTTTTGTTTGGTTTCTGTTCCATCAGAATGGCAGTATGCTGATTAACTGCTGCTGAGTTGTCATCAAAAATCTTCCATAACACAGAATATACATATTATCTCTAGATTCACAATGATATTTTTTGTATGTATATTTTCAAGAGAAATATGAGTGTTTTGGGGAGAAAAGAAGAACTACCACCAAAACAAAGAACCTTTCAAAACTATGCAATACATATTTTAAAAACTCTTAGTATATGATTTTTATGTAGAATTCATGAAATTTCCTTATTTCCTGTTTAATAAACAATATATTTTCTGAGCAAGATTAAATTTTTTTGATCATGTTTGTTTAGAATGTCTCTAAATTTGTAAAGTAGTTAATGGTAGAAAATGAAAGGATGGATCTTAAGCCACAGTAGATTTCATCCAAGAGAATGTGGTAGAGATGTTGCTATTCCCTATTCCTGATATTGTCATGATTGTATGGCTGTGTCTTATACAAATGACTTGTGAAACCAACCCTGCCTTAACAGCCGGCATGGTAACCTTCATGTTTTCTTTTTCAGGGTATATTTCCTTCCAGCTACGTTCACTTGAAAAATGCCTGTGTGAAGAACAAAGGGTAAGAATGAGTTTTATTAGTAGTTGGAGGATTTTCACAGAACCTTTGCTTCTTTTGGAATTCGAAAGGCATAGTAATTGTCTTGAAAAATGAACTGTAGAAGATCATACCATTGTCTGTGTTCTTTGTTAAAGATATATTGCATTAAGACCGTTGGTGGAGAAAATTAAAGAACCCCATCTGTGCATGCTGGACAACAGGATCTGAGGGACTGGAGGTCTCTCAGTGTCCACAAATCAGGGAATCAGCCTACGCTTGAGCAGGAGTTGGTTCTTTTTGGTTTCTTGCTACTTAGGGAAGCATGTCAGTCAGACCCATTAAATGCTGTCATATTATCTCAAACCCCAGGAATTTCCTAGGTTCACCACTGATTATAAGATGCATAGTGTGTCTTTCTCTAAATGGGCATAATAACATATTCTTGTGTGACCACTTCACAAAGCCATTATTCTGTTTTAGAGAATGTCATTTATATGATGCTTTGATTGAGCTCATTGATCACCTAGTATTTCTAATACATTAAAAAAATTTCTAGTCTATTTCTAAAAGAATGTGAAGTGGCAGTCACTTTAACATAATTCCTATAAGATATAGCAGAGTAAAACAGAAGAGCTTGCCTGTTTAAATAGTTAGCATGAGCAGATCATTCATTATAAGGGGCCATGGATTTAGACACAAACATTTGGTGTCAGTGTCACAAGGGCTGTTCACATGATCATTGCATAACTTTCATCTTATGCCAACAGAATACAGATTCAGCCATAGAAATTATATTTTTTCTCAAATAGTGATAAATAGCAATTTGTTATTTGAATTCTTAAAGCATAGTAATGGTATTTTCCAACTCGAGTCTCATGACAAAAATTCCAAAGAGGCTATTCAAATAGGTGATTCTTAATTTCCCCCCAAGTAAAAGTATGGTATTAAATTTCAGTTCAGTGAAATAGCCTCTGCAGTGGCTACGAGTCTATGGTATAAATACTTTGAGAGTTCCCTACATGGGTAAAACTTAAAGAATCTCAGAGACCATTACTCTACATGTCTTATGTGTGTGAGCTGCTTTAAGCATGTTAATAGTAGTAGTCAGTATCTATTATTGAATAATAATTAATTATTATTCAATAATCTATTATTCAATAATCTATTATTCAATAATCTATTATAGAATAATAGATTAAATAGATAGAATAATAGATTAAAAGCATAATTCTAATTCTAATAGTTACCACTACTACTACTGATCTTTTAAGAAATGTGTGTCCTTCAGAAGTGTGCAGCTATAATGCACCAGAAGCATCAAGCCGAGTTGTTGGTCCTTTTGAAACTTTCCTACCAGGCTAGATGTGACAGCGTTCAGCCCTCCTCCAGTAAACCAGAGGATACTTCAGAATACACTCCAGCTATATGCTTACTCTTTGTTCTATCCTTCTGTGCTAGTGATCTGGGCGTGGCAAAGTGAAAACGCCATGGGCTACCCCTGTTTCTTAAAGTGTCCATTTGAACAAGCCTGTGCAACCAATCCTCTTTGCTGCCTTTACCTCAAGCCCAACCCTGACCTCCCTCAACTCTGCAGTGCCAAGGGCATCATATGCTCTGACCAAGGAAGAGAAAAGAGAGAATGCTATGCTAGCAAAGATGATGTCAAGCATCTCTCCACTTAAAGTCTATCCCTCAAAGTGAGTTGGGGTAGGATATGATTTTTAAATAAGTACCTCCTTTTTTAAAATCCTGGTCAGTAACTGGTGTATATCTGATCCCCTTCCATGAGCCCCAGGAAGTTTAAATGTGGGTGAAGGTACCTAAAAATTGGGTTGTGTAAG